CCCCTCACATTCCATGAAAGGATCTTAACTTCCATAAGCGACAATAGCCCCCATTTCCCCACCGCCCCTAGCCGAGGTCCCTTTCTCTTTGTCACACACTCGCCCTCTTCTCTGATACACCACTACATCCCCTAAGTTATTTTGCTTAACACCTTTGCCCAACTCCCTCCCTGCACCATCGTAAAGAGATTGTTGCTCAATCTCCCTCAACAGTTCTAACACCCTATCTTCCTTCCCTTCAACAGAAACACCTAGAAACTTCCCAAAGTTTAATAGTTTATCCTCCATCCAGAAAGACATATCCCCTCCTCCGATCCTTGACAAACTTGGGCAGGTTTCTTCTATATGTGCCTTTTCCTTGCTACTATCAGAGGAATACAAGACCATAGCATTGCTAGCACTAGGGGTTTTAACCTCCGAAAGGGTCTCACCATCTCTTTGAGGGTTAGCAACCTCTGAAATTAACACCCCGCTGCTATAGGAATGTCCAGAACCATCAATAGTGTAGCATGGTGAAAGAGAGCATGGAACCCTTGGCGTCATATTAACTGAAAGTACTGGTCCGACACTAACATCAATTCGGGCATGCTCAACAATCACCCCAGAAGAAGAAGAAACTTTAAGTGTGGTCTCAGCACAACTAAGCCCAGGAGCAGGTGAGGGGTTGATGGAACCGGGTCCATCAGAGGCGGTGGGCCGTGGATTGACAGCACCATCATTAGCCGGTTCTGCCCCTGCAACAACGGCCATCGTAGAGGGGCACAGGTCACTAGAGCTCGGTGAAGAAGTGCCACTGTGTGAAGCACCATGGCCAGAGGAAGGAGGAACGACTGTTCCCATATGCTTAGGAGCCTTGTCATGCGCAGCTTGAAATAAACTGGGCCCCTTAGGATCAATTCTAATGGAGTTGGGGAAAGTAGCTGGGCCCATGTGAGGAGGCCCAGGCCTATACTTGCTGAAGACTTTCCCGGCCCTATGATAAGTAGAAGAGGATCGTCCCATTCTGCTTTTCCAGCCCGCCTCACTGACCCATTCACGTCTTCTCCTCCTGTTATAATTTTGTCTTCCTCCCCCAATTTCAAACCTCCCATCTCTTCTCGACCTAACATCTGCTTCCGGCTTAATCCAGTGATCCGGTGAGCCCTCCCCTCCCCTCAGAGACTGTTTTCCCCTCCCCTCCCTTCTATTTGACCTTCCCTATTCTTCCGTCGCTATCACCGGCATAAAGATAGGGCGAAATTCAGGGCTCAACCAAACCCTATAACTCAGGTAGCCATCTTCCATCACAGTGGAGACAGGGATTCTGCCCCCTTTCCTCACAACAATCCTCACTCGCGAGAGATCGTGTAAACTGCAAGTGACATCAATAAAACCCCTACAAATTTCCCCTATCTTCTTGAATAGGTCAAGACACCAAAGATGCACCGGGAGACCCACCATGTTGACCACCAATGTTTCGCCAGTGAAGCGAGGGTCAAGACACTCATCATGCTCCACCCATCTGTCTAGATTTAAAAAGTTCTCATCGAACCACCTGTTTCCTCTGACAAGAATTTCTGAAGCTTGAGACTTGTCAACAAAACGAAANTTTATTCCCCTCTATCCAAGGTCAGTCAAGTGCAGAGGACCTTAAGGCAATACTTAAAGGAAGTCGTTCTTCTAATGTGCATGATGAAGTCAGTAACATATAAATAAAGCTCGAGAAGTGGCGGCACATAAAATAAAATAGTTGATAGTCGAGCACATGTTACAAGGTTGCACAATAAAATTATGGTAATTGAAGGTTTCGAGGAAGAGTTCCTAGCCATAGCTTCTGATTATTGGTGTAGGATAAAAAGTTGTCTAAGGGGCTTAAGGAAAAAGAAACATAATTCCGCAAGTCGTGGTTAGAAACATTTAAGCAACAACACTAAGATACATCAAATTTTGACTACGTATTTACACTAATTTTTCATGGCCCAAGTAAAAATGGTTGTGCCAGTTAGAAGAACACTGCTTGATGAGGTTGACAATAGTATTTTAGTTTTCACTGCTTGTGTTCTTGTTCAATTCACAACCTGTAATAATACTTCCATCTTGTAGTACATCAATTTTTCTACCTTTCGATTTTGTTGTTTTAAGAGTGATGAATAGTAATGGGTTGGTTGTGGTTTTGAGTAAGTGAGGCTATTTCGTTCATGCTTTTTCTTTTGGTTGCTAGTTCATTGCTGATCTTTTTTGTTTCAGTTCTTTCATCTTTCATCTTTCATCTCTAGGTACGAATGACTAAAGTCATCTGGTGAACATTTGCTATATCAAGTTTTGGTGGGGAAAGGGGTGGTGAGAGGAGCTATTTTTGTACTACTTAGGAAAAATATTTTTTCTCCTTACAACAAAACAATAAAAATTATTTTCTAGCCACCAACCAAACACTAAAAAATATTTCCGAGTCACCAAACAAACATTGGAAAACAGTTTTCTTGAAAATCATTTTCCGTGGAAAAGATTTTCCTTCATAGCGAACACACAATGTATAAGTTTGATTAGAGAATGGTAGCAAAACAGTGCATATCTAATGGGTTTTAGATAAACAGACCTCTTGAACTTCACCCTTCAGAAATGGTCAGTTTCCCTACAGGAAATATTGAGAAAAAACAGATAAAACTTCCTTGTAAACAGGCTTCTTGAAATCCACTGCCTGTAGAGAAGATTTTGGATAAAAGTCAAAATAGTAGGAGTTAGAGCCTTAATTTGTTTTAGGAGAAACTTCAATGGTCAAAAGGTCCACTTACAAATTCAACAACTTGCTCCGGTGACATCCATGACCATTCTCCAAACTCAGCCTTCTCTGTCCCATCGCCCAGAAGGTTGATTTCTTCATCCTTTCCAGTGAACTTAAATAGGAACCTAGAATTTTCCATATTGTATTTCAGTGCCGTTAATAATCAGGAAACAACTGAGATCTATACGATTGTTTATCAAGGAACACGAGAAATAGAGTTTTATGATAACCTAAAACTGGTCTAAGCAGAATAGCACTCACTAACATCTAGACAACAGATGTGTAACATGTATACACACCCTTAAATGACAGCATGCATACCCACTGCCACTTTATAGTTTGATCCATGTCTCATATATATTCTGCAATAAGACTTTAGATTTTTTTAATTTTTGGGTCTTGCTAATAACTGTCAGTATCTGGCCAAACAGAAAAAATGAACTCCATAAAGATCTGATTCTGGAAATATAGAGAATGTTAAGTTGGAGCCTCTGCTTTTTTCTTAAGCCTTAGTGGATAGGGTTACCCGGGACATGTGCCAGTGGAGGTAGCAGGTATGCAGTGAGCTAGTCGAAATGCGCACAAGCTGGTCTGAAGACCTTCATTATTATTTAAAAAGAAAGAGTTGGAGCTTCTGTTCAACTGAATCTTAAGGTGTACACCTGCATGCATAGGCCAAGCTTTGATAATCCAGGGGTTTTAGAAGTGCCCACAATTCTTGAGCTGTTTTGCTGTATTTCTTAAGAAAAATTCAATTCTCAAAGCTTTAGAAGTTCAGTGGACGAGCCTCACTGCAAAGGAGAAAGGATAGAACTGGAGAGGAAAACGCTATAAAGGAAAGGGAGAAAGGCACATAATTGCTACTTCGAGGCTGGCTCTTGACGATCAGGAACTAACATAGTCTATTCTTGGCTTGAATAAGCAAATTCCATGGAAAAAATCAAATTTAGTCTATGCACAGGAAAATAGCATAATAGATATAAACAGCAGCTCCACCTGGAACGTAATAGGCAGTCTAATTTTAATTTAAACAAGGTTTAGATGACTACTGAGCCGGTACATGACCCTAGCTATGGGTAAACAAACAGGAGCGATTTGTTTAGGACAAACAATAATAGGTATGGTTATTGCTAAAGTAAGAGTATATTTTTATGTATAAAGTTGCTGATTTAGATGTACCTACCACTTCTGTGCTTGACCTTTCCAATCAGATCCCCATTGATGCCTTAGCTTTTCCCTAACGTCTGGTGGGAAATCATACGTTAACCAGTGTGGAGCCTACATAGGATTTAGAACGTCATTAACCAGCGTAACAATACTCAAGATAGGAGATTGCATCCAGTTAAGGAAAAAGACCAGTGAAATAAAACATAAATGAAACATTAAGAGATGAGAGTAGAATCTACTTTTCATACCTCAGCAACGATTTCTGCTGAAGTAACCCCAGTTTCCTCTCTTAATTCCCTAATGGCAGCATTTCTTGGATCTTCACTTTCATCAACTCCACCCTGATTCAAACAACCATATATGTGTCATTTTTCCTATTTATTACAAAAGACCAAGATTTCGACAAAAACACATGATTTCCTAACTTTTGAAGATTTCTTTCATTCTAATTATTTTGCAGTAAAGTAAACACAAAGTTTTGAAATCCTAAAAGACTAACATCTTAAAAGAATTTGCAAATATTGTCAAAAGAGAAAGGAAAATACATACGAAGTTTTGTAGGAATGCAAATTTGAAAGGCTCCAGATAATTGGATGTTGAGATATTACGAGCACAGACATACATTTCACACTCATACGGAACAAAACCATATTCTGAATACACGTCAATGGCATTTCATTACAGAATTGGACATTGCAATACAAATTTGTAGTTTTTGATTAGAAAGAGGGTTAATAATCTTCTCTAGTCTTTATAGCTGAATTGTTAATAATTCTGAAACTATAATTGGGTAGTTTAAGATCACTTCATTTTGAACAAACTTCATTCGAATGAAGAAAAGGGACCTAACAAAAGGCCATTTGTGACAAAGGCATCAAGCCCGATTAGTATGATCTCTTCTCTTGTGCCTCAACGGATTTATTTTGATTCAAGTGACCACACTATTTTCTATCATGATCCATTTGGGAACATGTGTGCAAAACTACAATCACATTTAGAATGTGAAAACGCAAAAAACTGCAAACAAGTAGCATTTGGCCAAACATGACTTTTAGTTGTGGAACTCAACAAAATTTTCTAAACAACCATTTCTTAGCCGGTAATTTTGTTATTTTACGGATACATACATACATATATATATATATATATATATATATCATACTAGAAATTTTAGATCCCGTTTGCACTTCTATTGCCAAGTGTATAGGATTCATGTTTACTGGAATATTTTAGCCACAAGCTGGAACCATATGGGAGATATAACCTATCAAACTCACAACAGGCCTTATCAATTTCATTATCCGCATAGATCATTATGATATCCAAACTTTAGGTAAAATAATTACGAGACAACAAGAGCGTAGTCAGTATTTATAGCCAAAACTATTGTAGCTCACTGTTGTATTGAACACTGTAACCTAATCAATAAGGGAAGAGAAAGAACGATTCTTGGCTCTACTTGGACTTTGGGGATACCTATTAATACTTCCACTCAAGAAATGCTTCCTATCCATATGCCAGAAACCAGATATTAGATTATGGTACGAAGTCTGATATAAGTACTAACACTTAACAGCAGGGGCGGAGGGAGGGTGTTATCTACGGGTTCGGACGAATCCAGTAACTTTTTGCTTAGACCCTGTATTTGTACTAGAAAATCTATTAATATATATAAATACTTAATAGTGAACCCACTAACTAACGAGCTATGGGTTCGATAGTAAATTCAGAACTCATAAACTTTAAATCCTGGCTACGCCTCTGCTTAACGGTTAAGCAATAGCAAAGGTTTTGCGAGGATACTTGAAATTCATTTTTTTCCCTCCCAGATACCCAAATCCACTTAAGCTAATAAAATATCACTCATAGAAACATGTTCCTAGCCAGTTAGATGAATACTTAAAATCATTTCATCATGAAAATAAGTTTGATGCATTACCCTAAATTTTAGTACTATAAATGTCTAATCTTGCCAGCCCCCACCGCCCATCCATCCTCAAAAGAAAAAGAATATGATACTAACTCCTTTTCAGTTTATATGATACATTTTCATTATTAGTCTGCTTCAAAAAGAATAACACATTTCGATAGAGAGAAGGAAGAGATTTTCTTCTTCAAATGTGTGTATTTTCCTATCTATTACAAGCCTTTATATAGGCATGAAAATTGAAGAAAAATATGTCATTAAGCATTTGAGATAAGATCATGGAGGAAGAGTAGACATCTACCATAATTTGATTTTTCTTATAACACTCCCCCTTGGATGTCCATAGATAATGTGCCTCGTTAAAACCTTATTAGGAAAAACCCTCTGAAAAAAATCCTAGTGAAGGAAAACCCAGTGGGACAAAACCTTGTAAGGGAAAAAGAGCACAACGCGTATTAACTCCCCCTGATGAGAGCATCAATTCACATCTTTGAGCCTTCGCATCCCAATCTTGTACACTAGTTTCTTGAAGATTGACGTCGGTAGAGATTTGGTGAACAAATCAGACATATTATCACTTGAACGAATCTGTTGCACATTGATATCACCATTCTTTTGAAGATCATGTGTGAAAAATAACTTTGGTGAAATGTGCTTTGTCCTATCTCCTTTTATGAATCCTCCCTTCATTTGGGCTATGCATGTTGCATTGTCTTCATACAAAATTTTGGATAGTTTGTCACACTTCAAACCACATCTGTCTCTAATAAAATGTATTATAGACCTCAACCATACACATTCTCGACTTGCTTCATGAATAGCAATTATCTCAGCATGATTAGATGAAGTAGCCAAGATTGATTGCTTAGTCGATTGCCAAGATATGGCAGTGCCTCCACATGTAAACACATGGCATGTTTGAGATCGATCCTTGTGTGGGTCAGATAAATACCCAACATCGGCATAACCAACAAGATCGGGACTGCAATCATTGCCATAAAATAATCTCATATCGGTAGTTCCTTTTAGATACCGCAAAATGTGTTTGATTCCATTCCAATGTCTCCTTGTAGGAACAGAGCTATATCTTGCTAAGACATTAACTGAAAAAGTTATGTCAGGCCTTGTAATGTTAGAAAGATACATTAGTGCACCAATTGCACTAAGATATGGTACTTCAGGACCAAGAATCTCTTCATTCCTTTCTTGAGGTCGGAACGGGTTCTTATTCACATCAAGTGATCGAACAATCATCGGAGTACTTAATGGATGTGCTCCATCCATGTAAAATCGTTTCAATACCTTTTCTATGTAGGTAGATTGATGAACAAAAGTCCTGTTTGCCAAATGTTCAAATTGCAAACCAAGACATAATTTTGTCTTTCCGAGATCTTTCGTCTCGAATTCTTTCTTTAAATAATCAATTGCCTTTTGGAGTTCTGTAGGAGTTCCAATAAGGTTTATGTCATCAACATATACAGCAAGTACAACAAACTCTGATGTTGTTTTCTTTATAAAAACACATGGACAAATGGCATCATTTATATAACCTTCCTTTAATAAATACGCATTAAGGCGATTATACCATATTTCGCTTTAGACCATACAAAGATCTTTGCAATTTGATTGAAAATATTTTCCGGGACTTTGAATTATGTGTGTCGGGCATTTTAAATCCCTCGAGAATTTTCATGTATATCTCATTATCAAGTGAGCCGTAAAGGTAGGCTGTAACCACATCCATTAAATGCATGTCAAGCTTTTCATGGACAGCAAAACTAATAAAACATAACAGGAGAATACGTCTCTTCATAATCGATATCAGGCCTTTGTACCTTATTTTTTCTCATTCCTTTTACGTACAAAGACTCATTTATAGCCAACAGACTTAACACCATTAGGTGTTTGGACTACAGACCCAAAAACTTCACGTTTCGCAAGTGAAGTTAATTCTGCCTGGATAGCGTCTTTCCATTTTGGCCAATCATTTCTCTGTCTACATTCATCGACAGATTTTGGTTCAAGATCCACATCTTGTTGCATTATTTCAACAGCGACATTATAAGCAAAAGCGTTATCAATAACAATATTATTTCGGTTCCATCTTTTTTCCCGTTGAGATATTCGAGGATTTTTATCCTTAGAACCGATTGGTCTACCACGTTTCAAGCGTGGTTTAAACTCATTTGCTTTAATTGATTGTCCTACCGGGATATCAACTTGAATTGGAGCATTAGCAGCTGGAATATGTGACTTAGTCACCCTTGGTAGGTCAGTGAATGCATCTGGCAGTTGATTTGTTCGAGGATCTAAATGAGATAGTGATAATACATTCCAATCTATTTCTTTTCTCAGTTGCTTATTTTCTCCCTCTAATGTAAGGTATACTGATTCATCAAAATGACAATCAGAAAATCTTGCCGTAAATAAATCTCCAGATATTTCATAATAGAAAGAGATTCATACCCAACATATATCCCCAACCTTCTTTGGGGACTCATCTTTGTGCGTTGTGGTGGAGCAATTGGAACATATACCGCACAACCAAAGATTCTAAGATAGAAAATATTTGGCTCCTGACCAAAAGCCAATTGTAATGGGGAGACTTTATGATAACTTGTGGGCCTTATCCGCACAAGTGTTGCTGCATGCAAAATAGCATGACCCTATACTGAAATGGGGAGTTTTGTTCTCATAAGCATTGGTCTAGCAATTAATTGGAGGCGTTTAATCAATGATTCCGCTAGACCATTTTGTGTATGAACATGAGCAACCGGACGCTCAATTGTTATCCCAGTTGATATACAATAATCAGTAAAGGCCTGAGATGTAAACTCATCAGCATTATCAAGACGAATTGTCTTAATTGTATAATATGGAAATTGTGCTCTTAGTTTTATTATTTGAGCCAACAATCTCGCAAATACCATATTGCGAGTTGATGATAAGCACACATGTGGACCATCTTGTAGATGCATCTACCAAAACCATATAATATCTTAATGGTCCACATGGAGGGTGAATGGGCCCACATATATCACCCTGTATACGTTCCAGAAATGTAGGGGATTCCATCCTAACTTTAATAATTGATGGTCTAATAATTAATTTGCCTTGAAAACATGCAACACAAGAGAATTCCTTAAATTAAAGAATCTTTTGGTTCTTCATTGAATGTCCATGTGAATTCTCAGTTATTTTACGCATCATAGTAGAACCGGGATGACCCAACCGGTCATGCCAAATAATAAAACTATCTTGATTAGTAAATTTTTCATTTACTAGGGCATGTGTTTCAATCCTGCTAATACTTGTGTAATATAAGCCGGAGGAAAGAGCGGGTAACATTTCAAGCACATATTTCTTACCCGACTTTATTGTAGTAGTATAAAGATATTCAATCTTTTCATTATT